AATTTCATAATAGTTATCATCAAAACATAGAGATATTATTAAGAACCAATCTGTGTTCTAACATATAGGGTTTAAATTGATCACTTAAACACCTTATTATGCTCAGGAAAACGGACAAGTTGAAGCGACCAACAAGGTGTTAATCGGGCTCATTAAGAAACACATTGTTGGAAGGCCCAAGGACTGGCATAAGATGTTGGATCATATTTTGTGGGCCTATCGAACGTGGCTTAAGGAGTCGACTAGTTTGACTCCCTTTTGTATGACTTTCGATCATGACGTTGTTTTGCCAGCAGAAATTTGTCTACAATCAATAAGAATACAACATCAGCATGAGATCCCGTCGGAGAAATATTGGGGTATGATGCTAGACGAAATGGTAGATTTAGACGAAGAAAGGATGGTGGCATTAGACAGGTTGTTGCACCAAAAGGCACGTGTGGCCAGGGTGTAAAATAAGAAGGTCAAGGAAAAGACCTTTGCAGATAATGACTATGTATGGAAAACGGTCTTGCCAATGGATTGACGAGATTGAAGGTTAGAGAAGTAGTCACCAAATTGGGAGGGACCGTTCCAGATAACCCAAACATTCAACAACAATGCATATGAGATTCGAGAAATTGGTAAAGACCAACGGATCATAAGGATAAACGGGAAATATTTTAAAAAATATAGACCTGTGTTACAAGAAGCTCGAATCCAAAATATTATTCATTAATAAATGGCCTACGGTGGTGGAAGGCCTACACAGTTACAAAACCTCTCCAACATTGAGTTACAGCTAAAGTATTAATAAAATTCAAAATAATGCAGATTATGCAGGAAATTTGGCTTTGAGGCTTTCAAAAAGGGTCCTCTCATGATCCATCATGTGTTCCAAAAGAAATTTCCTCTGCCGCATTTGATCAATAGTCTTCTTGAGTGCAAGGGCATTTTCAAAATGAGTTATCCCTTGGGAAACTTCCTAATCGATTGCCTCCTGAGCTGGCAGAGGTTCGTCGAAATCCAAAGAGGATTTCTGCTTCTCAACCTCAGCAATCTTCCTCTCTATTTCTGCCATTTGGGCTCTATAGTCAGATATTTGTTGGTCAAGGGCTTGACATTTGTCAGAACGTTCCTTTTTTGTGGCTTCAAAATTTTCGAGTTTTTTCTTGCAAATAGAACTAAGATACCACGCATGTTTCATCTTGTTGATTTTCCCCCTGATTTGGGTGTCGACCTGCTTACACATCGACAAGTCTTTCGCCAGCTGAGTGAAGAAGGCCTCAAACCCAATAAAGTATTTGGCCATATGGGGAGGCACGTTATAAAGGGAAAGCTCGTCCAGAATTTTAAAAAAATCATAGGACACAGCCGACTCTTCTGCCACTACATCTAGGAATTCGTCCTCAAACAGATATGTCTTCAATTGTTGAAGTTTCAGTTTGAACGAATCATCCATCTCTGGGTTGAGGGTGGTCGTCGAATCAGCAGGGGTGTATGACGGAGTTTGAAAAGCGCCTTCAAGGCTTCTACTGGATTGGAGTTCTTCATAGCCCGGATTTTTGCTGGGGTAGGTATTTTTTCAACAGAAGGGCCACCTTAACTTAGACCACGAGGGATCTGGGAACCTTCGACAGTGGCTGGGATGATCACCGGATTGTCCTTTTCACCAATGGCCATATTTCTTCTATCAGTTTCATGGATTCTCCTCTGTCGATGCCCCATGGAATTCATCGACCTTTTGAGGGCTAAACAAAGGCGTCAAGTCAGTAGGATGGCCAGCAGTCATTATGGCCTGATCAACATCTACTTAACAGTTGCGTCGACCGCATTGTCCTACATAGTACAGCATAAATGAGACGCCCATGTGGAAAAGGGAAATGCATAATGTTGAGAGGGACAGCAAAATACCTCAGCAGTGTCTTGGGCTGAAGAGAGTTTAGTGGCTATAGTAGGGAAAACTTCAGTCAAATTTTCAGGAACAACGGGCTTCATCGTCGAGGTAACCGTTCTCAAAGGAGTCCTCTTCACATCAACCCTTTTCTTTTTTACCAAAGGGGTGACAGGCGGAGAGCTTGACGGATCAGATCGAAAGACTCGGGATTGGGAACTCTCGTCAGAAACACCGCCTTTAGTGGATGGTGGTTTTTCAGTAACCTAGACGAATAACATTAAGTAAACAAGAATGGATAATCAGGAAAGCCACCAAGAAAGCAAGTAATACATGAGGATTGAGAGTTTTTGGTTTCTTCGCCACCCTAATAGAGGTCGACGCTATAGGAGGCTCCCTCTTTCGACCCTGGAAAAGGGACAGACAGAGTAAGATGCTGACAGTTTAAAGGACAGAAGAAGAGTAAAGAAGGTACCTTTTTGGGATCTTCGAAGGCACCAGTTTTTGCAGGGTTTTCAACAGGAATGGAGATTGTTTTTTCAGGGACTTCATCTTTTAGGGCGGCGAAAGCATCGACTACATTCTCTAGAAAGAGGTCGCTGTCAAAAATTTGGTCTTGATATTCAGACCACCAAACATTGAAAGCTTCAGTAGTATAGAAAGACAGCTTATAAGAGAAAACCGGCAGCTCAAAGTGTTGGGTCGACCTAGAAAATTTAAGACAACTCTAGTGACCTGCCAAATTCAACCGTCGACCAGCCCACACGATATCAGAGGTATGTTGTACCAGAGACTTTTGCAGCATCTGGCTTAAACCAAATTGGTGTGCCACCAAGTTGGGCTGATAGTTCATAAAGCCAAAATCATTATTCCTCGTTTCAATTCGAAACGACAACATGGTAGGATTCAGGAATGCCCGCCATACTGAATTTGACATGGCTGCTGTCTGGGGCGAAGCACCAGGGAAAGAGTTTCTAAACCATAGTGAGGGCATACCAGGAACAGAGACGTTTGCTTCAGCAAACATAGTGAGGTATTTTGTAAAGAGGGTTTTGTTGGGGGTTTCCTGTGTTGTCATCAAGGCAAGTCGAGCTTAGGTTAGCAAAGATTTATGTAATTTTGTGTATTTAACAACTATTCATGTTATGTTTTTCTTCATTCTTTATCTGAAATTGCTTCTAGTTTTGTGAATCGAGTATATTTTAAATTTCAAAATCTAAAAAAACTTCTAAATATTATTGTATGTTACATTCAGAATGAATTTGTGATTAATTAGTGATATCAGAAAGAAAGAAAAAATCTAGAATTTGACATTCGGACAATTGAAGATTATAGAAAGTTGATTTTTGATATATATGATGGGGCAAGCGGAGTCCAAAATTCAAATTCTTTTTTAACATTTGTTTTTATTTTGATCTGTTTTAGAATTTGTTGTATATTTCACACAAGTTCAAATTTTAAAGTTCATAATTCAAGGACTTTTTATGAGAGTTGGTGAGTAAGACGTATAATAAACAATCTCCTTCATTTGTACTTTTAAAGCCGAGATTTTAATCACCGAAGAAAAGTGTAATACTTTCTTTCAAAGAATTTAAAAAATTAAAACACAAAATAATAATAATAATAATAATAATAATAATAATAATAATAATAATAATAATAATAATAATAATAATAATAATAATAATAATAATAATAATAATAATAATAATGTCAGTACAGCCTAATATAGGAAAGAAAAATCAAATTGCTAACAAGTTGTGGAATTGGTCAAATTTTCATTTGGTTCTGGTTTCACATTAAAGTTCTATACCATATATGGTGAGAAAGGATGGAAAAACCGACCCGATTTTACTGAATGTATTCATTTTATCCGCATTTTACGGTAGAGTTTGTTAAGAATATAACATACACCCTTTGATGTGTCTATTTTATCTCATTCGGTCTTTTCTTTTTAAGCTTTTGTGGATGCACATTAACATAACTTTTTGAATTCTTAAACTAAAAGATTTAATAACAGCAAGTCAGTTCTATCCTTATTTTTTTTATAAGACGGACTTAAATTTGAGATCTATATTTTCAATTGTTCAGGTACACTCTACAATTTTTTTTTTCAGAAGCAACTATACTGGTCCCATTCTATTTTTCTTCAGGTTTGGTGAAGATTCTCTTCCATGAAAATTTTATTGAAAGAAGTTGAGTGTTCATCTTCATTGTTCAATCAGATTTTAATTCATTATTGGCTTGCTTGTTTTAGTTTTTAAAAATAAATTTTAAATTATCATCTATTTTTATTTTTAAAAAATTATAAAACATTATTTTTAAATTGTATAAAAATATTTTAAATAGTTATTTTTAAATTATTATTATAAAGATTTCATCATTTTGCTACACTTCTAATTATCAAAATTTCAAAAACTCACTTAAATTTTAATCTATTTTAAAAGGAAAATCATAAACATTATTTTTAAGATATATCTTTCTAAAAAATATATTAAAAATTTCAATAATATATATTCATGTTTTAATTTTAAATAATGTATAATATATATTTCTGTTATAGAATGTAAAATAATTTTACAATGTATAAAAAAGAAATTTAAAAAATATATATTTTAAAAAATGCAATTATAAACATCATTTTTAAAAATACAAAAAAAAAATCATTTTTTAAAGTTAAAAAAACCACCCATATATTACATGCAATTAAAAAAAATCAACTGCTATCAAAGATTGTCACTCGATAAATTGTAATATATAATTTTGGGGAAGTAACATCCAGCTTAACTATGAGCAAATATCTCACATATAAATCCCATATAGATCGATTACACAAATTTAAGACAAATTTTTCTTTCGAAAAACTACTCTATACGGAGGAGGGGTCAAGAAATGAACTTACAAAATCAAAATAAAAACGGGAGCGACAAAAAGATGATAATAACAATCTTTGACCAACATCCATATTAGTTAATCTTTGAACACAAAAAACGGAATAAAATAGTAAGCCTGGATAACAATAATCATTATATCTTCATAGTGAAAGTGATACCAAAATATGCACGCCGACCATCTTTCTGTACTCACCAACCAATCTTAAATATCCATTTCGTTAAAGCTTGCATCTTCAGCTACCTCCAGATTTGAGTGTGTTGCTCAACCTACATATCAACATTACCCAAGACATAGCCGCAATGAGCAACGAAAAGGAAGTGCAATGTTATATCAAACTTGCAACTGCAAACAGTGTAACTAAACATCTAAAAAGAGGGATATATTTCAATATTGGCAACTAGTATCTAACCAGTAACAATAGAGACCCATTAATAACTGCACAGCTTAAAAGTAAAGTATACAGCATATTTTCTTGACCAAGGTACACTTCCTATCACATTTTAAACGCCCATGTGCAAGGTTAATCCAATTCTATTGGATAGTGATATATATTTTGCATATACTAGTATGTCATTAGGCAGCCATTCAAAATCACCTAGATTGCTGTACAGTACTTTATACTTAAGAAGCAAGATAGCCATAGGAACAGTTGTCTTTAATCTTTGACATATAAAAAATAGTTAAATATTAATATAGTTACTAGTATAAGCAATATTGTTTTTTTGAAGTTCATTAAATAATTAATGTATCTGATCTATATATTTGCACCATATTTGTTAATTAATGAATCTAAAAATAGAATATTTTCTTATAATAGTGAAGGAAGGAAGGGTGAATGTCTTAGTCCTTATAATATCACAACTTTTTAAGTTTAGTCCCTACATAAATTTTATAAAATTCTTGTCTCTATTAGACTTTTATAGGGACTATATTTTCGTAGACTAGAACTAAAAGCACCCATTACTTGTAAAATATTTTTCAAATAGAGACAAAAATTGAATAAAACCTATGAACTGAACTTAAACAGTTGGAATGTAACAAGGACTAAACATATTTGACCCTATAAAAAACTGTAAAGCTCAAATGACTAGTATCAACCACTAATTGGATTTTTTTTTCCGAAAAGTTGTTTATTTATACAATATGAGAAAGAAAGAGTAATGCTAATTGGGACACAAATTAAAAACTAAATGTAGAAACAATTTTTTAAAAAATGTATATTGATTGTATCAAAATCAAATAATTAATTTTTTTACTACTTTTTCCAATACAAATTTTCTAGTTATGAAATTCTTAACATGTACCCTTAAACACAAATTAGCATTACCCTATAAAAAAATATGAAAAAATACAAATCAACAACTTTAGTACAATATGAGAAAATACAAAGAAATATCATTGTCAAGGATAGCACCCTAGCACCCTAGACAACAACTTACACTTATCTAATAGCTCAATTATCACGTACCAATTGAATTACCCCACCCACTCAACCATTAATTGGATCAAAACCGATAAAAATCAGTTTACTCAGTCAGTTTCCTATAAATTACAGTGACTCCCCAATTCAACATTTATACGGCCAAGTCTTTTTTTTTGGGTGGCCTTTTGCATATTTTAATTTTTGTTCAATTTGCATAACTTCTATACCATATCAAATGAATTGATATATTATTAGATATATGAAATTAATATTATCAGTTAATAGTTTTTTATTATCCTCAAATTGCTAATATTATCAGTTAGTGGTTTTTTATCATCTTGAAACTGTTAAACATTATAATCGATGGTGATCCCGTTAAAAATAAATTTACAGATCCCTATTGAAATATGATATGAATTTTTTTTTTAAATAAAGTATAATATCTATAGGTTGTGTTTTAAAAAAATTTTAATGTATAATATTGACCCAGTATCCTAACTGAGTTGATGATCAATGAGTTTTATAACATTGGAAAAATACCCTCAAAATACTTTTAAAAAATGAAAAGAATAAATTAGCAATGAACCAATGCTACTTGTTTATGATATTTGATATCCTAACAACCTTGAAATATCCTTCCATTTTAATAGACTTACCAGTCAAGGCCCTCAAAAAGTCCTTCGCCTTTGATGGCGGAAGTTTTAAAAATAGACCATTGGCGATTTTTAATCTTGTGTAACTCGAGAGACTCCGTCACAGCAGCATCATCAAGAGCACCAGGAAGGTCCTGTATAATGGAATGGAACACGCATGAGATACTAATAAATAAAGTTCAAAATTTTAGCTTCATTATGCTTGCATATGATCTATGTGCATGTACAAATTGAAGATATCTTTGGCATTAATGCATTATGTCAGTTAACATAGACTTCTCCCAAATAATATCAGCTTCATAACTCTTATATATACAGTGATTAATTCTTATTACCCTAGAGAAAATACGAGAATACTATATATATATATATATATATATATATATATATATATATATATATATATAATTCTGACCTGTTTGTTTGCAAAAATGAGAACAACTGCACCTTTTAGTTCTTCTTCCTACCAAAAGATTCAGAGAAAATAATTAGTGTTAGCTTGTTTTTGTATAACTGAAATCACAATCAGATGAGACAACACAACCATAGCCACAGAGGAATAGGAAACATATAAAATTTAGTCAAACGAAAATAGGAAATAGATAAAAATTGATTGGGCGTCAAATTTTATTTAATGTATTAAAAAAAGAACTAGATTATAACCACATAAAAAATGAAATTGACAATCAAGCCAGAGCATATTTTTGAATCAAATTTCCGATTCATGAAACACCTCCACAATAATAGTGCAATTGCTAAGGTTATATTTTGTTTGAGAAAACGTTTATTGTTACAGTTTTTATTGATAATTGCAAAAATGTCATTATAGTTTTAATTTGTTTCCTGCTATCAAGGAGCGCGTGACATGATGAAAAATGATGGCAGTCACCATTTTCTAAACAAATCTTTAAAAACAATAAACTACTTAAAAACAAAGTAGGATTTCTGTAATTAATTTACCAATGAAAATAAGGAGTAGAAAAGTATTTTTCAAACAAAACAGAACAAAACCTTCAAGAACAACAATCAAAGCATATTCAACTAGGATGAATCAAACACCACAACTGAATTCCATTAAAAACGAACTACTCAAAGTTGCTGCATAGATATAAATCATACTTAATTATTTCACCACTAGTTTTTCTTGCTCTTCTTCTCTCTTCTTCCTTTGATTATCGAATATCTTCCAATTCATAAGCTTTTCTTAATGAGCTCCCGCTCCCATTGGTTTGCTTCTCATATATCCAAACCATTTTAAAGTTTAGTTCTACCATCTTAATAGGTTCTATTCACCTATGCCTACTTTTTCTTTAATATATTCCTTCATGATCTTATATTTACTTATAGCACCATTGTAACTATGCAAAAAAGATTCCTCTTAGCTTAGGAGAAAAATATGATCACAAATAACACCTAAAGCATTCTTCTCTAGTCCTCTTAACATATGTTCAAGTTTCGCATAATCTATATGCTTTTGAAATACAACCTAGAGCCCCCAATCCCTTGTAATAGAAGCTACACAGAATTTTAAGAGTAACAAACTGAATACTTGTAACAAAGTTCCAAATGAAGTGTGTATCAGGAACATATACCTCCAGAATAGCATGGAACTCCTCCCTAGCTATCACAAGCCTATCGGTGTCACTTGAATCCACAACATAGATTATTGCTTGCGTATTAGGAAAGTAACACCTCCAATATGGCCTAAGGACAAAAATAATAATCAAACCCAGCAAAAGGTTAGATAATGTATACTCACTGCATAGTTATTAGAGACAGTTATTTTCCCATCTTGTGGTTCGGTTTACCGTGTTATCGATTTGCCAGTTATTTGTTCTTTTAATCATGCTACTACCATATAATTTATTTACCCAATTTATATGTGAAATGGCAAGTGAGAAGTAAGAAGTAATTCATGCACAAAACGAGGTCTTTTATATGCGTGGAAATTTATTAAAGTGAAATTTATCACATTCATGTTTGTTCAAACAGGGCACAGACAAGTGTATGATTGTAAAATGACCCTTGAAGGAAAAGGGGGAAAAAAACTCAAAGCTTAATATGATACATCAGAAATGAGCTAAGCTACATGCTGTGTAAGTGTAACACTATAAATAAATTAATATAAGAGAAATTCATCTTTGAATCCACAAAGCATTTCTTTTCATAATATAAGCTAGTGTAGTTTCAAATGAATAAGATTGTTTTAGGTGTGTGTTAATAATGTCTGTCAGTGAGAGTGAGTTATGTTGGTTGATACATTGTTAGTGAAAAGTACTACCCTATCAAACTATTATTACAAACTATATGGGACTTTAAAAGTAATTATGATTAAAGTCAACCATTTTTAACGATCCGGCAGTTATGATTGATTGCCGGTGTAAAAACTCGTTACACTAACGGTGTATGTGAATGAGAGTCTTAGAAGTTCTCTCAATCGACCCCTAAAACATGAGTTTACCGTAAACATGCTTTAGGTAGTGTGTTTTGATAGAAAATTCATTACCGAAAGGACTCTTCCGGTAGTGTATTTTGGCATATTTGAACATATAAAGGGGGTGGATTGAGAAACTCTGAATTCTTATTAGAAACATACACACCCACACACGCATCTACACATGTTAATTAACTAGATAAAGATTGGTATTTTCTTACAGGAAACATTACATATCAAGGACTTTAGAGTAGGTTCATATACAGGTAAACAGAAATATGGAAGAGTTAAAATATTCAAAAATGCATGACAAATGGAGTAGCAACAATTGAATTATATCCAAATATCAATTATAGATAAGCAAAAGAAAATTGTGACATTGTAACACATCAAAAATAACCAGTTATTTGCTGTTAAAGGAAATTTATTTAAAAATTGCACATGTTTCATCAGTCAAAGGAAGCATGAAACCAAAAGGCTTACCTGATACTTGTTTGCCCACCTGTATAAACAAAAGTTGGATATCAGAAGTTGAAATAAGCCATCCAATATCATATAATATTATGTCTCGCACAACTATAAGCTCACATGACTATAAGTAATAAACTACATTTATGGTTTGAGGTGTGTTTATTTTCTTTCATGCGTACAAAGAAAATAGCTCGACACAGGAAAAACAACATTACCGTCAACGGTTTCAGCATTTTCTTATCTTCCCTTGCACTATATCAAAATTCAAAACTACAAAAACAAAAACAAAAAAATGCTACCAGCCAGAAGAGGACAAAAATCATCCAAACTTGCTTTGTTACATGTTGCACTTATCACTGCTATACCCAGAAATGAGACTAGCAAACCTCAAATTTAAACCATGGCCCCATGTAAGCATGCTGGTATTTAACATGAGACAGAAATGTCATGACAGTCGACATATTGTCCTATGTGTAGGGATGGAAGTAAGTCAAGCCAGGTTCACAAGTTGATTTAGATAGTATAAGATTTTAACAGGAAAAAACAATGGGTGTTGTTGTATAGGACTTGTGTTAGAATCCTCAAGCTCAGGCAAATTGTTGTGAGCAAGTTATCTAAGCTTGAGCAAAAACAGAGGCACATTTTCTTAACAAGTATTGCTTGTTTATGTCAAGCCAAACTTGAGCTAGGCGGGCTCAAATTTCATTCCTACCTCTACAAAATAAAAAGGTCTTAGACTACGTGTGAATTACTTATAAAATTTAACTTGGCGCAACACCAAACTCTTTGTTTTGTTTGCAACACATAAGTCATTAAGATGTGTAAGCCACCTACTCTACATAAGGGATGGAAATTGGACCTCAACGCTAGACACAATAGGGTACCCACAAAAATTATCCACTATAAATAGAGTTTTACTATTATAGAGGTACAGCAGACATAGGTAATTAATCACCTACAAAAAATTAATGGTGATGGTACTTTAGTGCTCACTTCAACTAGCCCCATCCCCACACTATCTTTATCTATTATGTTTACTAATTAGGATTTGCGTGACCTTTTTAAAATATTCATATGAAGTTGCATAGTATATGTTTAAAAAGTATTATCTTTATTGCTGGTTTTTATTAATTTAGTATTAAAATAGTACTTTTATTTTACAAATTTGAACCAAAAAAAAAAGACAAAATAAAGGGAAATCATATTTCACTATTTAAAACCCACACTGGTTTGGTCTATCTAAGGATTTTTTTGTAAACGTGGGTAGCCTGTACAAGCACATGCGGTTTAGTACTTTACTCATTGTCATCCCTACCCTAAATTATAGTCAAAGATGAAAAAAAAATGTAAAGATATAACATGGTCATATATAAGACTCTAGAAGGTTTCAAATATGCTTAACAACAGTGTAAAACATACATCACAAAACATACCTAATATACAAAAAAAAATCATGTGAACCAAGCTAATTAAAGTCATTACCTAAATCCCAGACTTGAAATTTAATGTTGTTATACTGCACAGTTTCAACATTAAACCCGATCGCTGGATCAAATAATCAAATAAACCAGTCAGCCACGGTGTAAAAGAAGAAATGGAGCAGCAAAAATATCATCAAATCGTGCATGGATCAAATCGTGCATTATATTACTAACAACTTTTTCATAATTGACCTCACAAGCATATCTTTAAGCACTATTTCAATTTGTGCCCAACTCTGTAACAATTCTTTTGAACCAAATAGCATTGCTTCTAAGTTCTAACTTGAATTGAAAATCTAAAACCAAAACGGTTCAGCATATGAAATACGAAAACAATGCACACATTGAGATTTAGAGAAAGAAAACGCAAAACGAGATCGAGTACCAACTTGGAATGGTAGAGACAACTTCCCCCATCTGAAGCCGATCTGAAAAGCAAAATCAAAAAATTCACCAAAGCAATAAAAAATTCATCTAATTGATTTCATAAAATGCAGAGAGAGATATGAAACATACAGAGAATAGTAGTTTTTCCGGCATTATCGAGGCCGAGAACGAGAATTCGAGCTTCCTTGTTACCGAAAACAGACGAAAACAATCTGGTAAACACTAATCCCATCTTCCGATTCGGCAGAGGGAAAATCACGGTACACGGTTATGGTTAGAACATGAATCAGGCGAAAACGATTCTTACCGAGAATTCGTTTATTCTGAAATTCTGAAATCGGAAATTTGAAATCGGATCAGATCTTGAAGTATATGCTCTGAATCTGAGGAGAGGAAATGCATGCAAGTTGAATCTGATCTGTGTTTACGATGGAAGAATGTGAGATTCGGAGAAGGAATTGTTAGGTTTCGTGAGGTTTTCGTTTTCAGATTGAAGAAACGAATCGAAAATGGCAAATGGAAGAGGGAATAGCGATGGTGAAAATGAGGATGTAGATGGTGATGATTTCGATTCCCTCACCTTTCAGTTTTTGGGATATGGCATCCATTTTTACTTCGTTTCGCGCATTTAGACAGGAATCGAGAATTTGGGCCGTTCCTTTCGGATAATTTTTTACTTAACACCCTAGCGTTTAGATTGACACCTCTATAATTCTTAAAGTCTCATTTTTAACCTTTTTATAATTTATCTTTTTGAAATTTTATATATATTTTTGAAAAAAAAAGTTACTCTAGAAATCTCTATGAATGTCAAATATATCTATCTACAAACACTATTAAGAGGATTTTTAAATATCCGAATAGAATAACAAATTTATAAGAAATTCTTAAATTATAACACAGTTGGATTTTGTGATGCTGACTATGTTGGAGACATAATTGAAAAAAAACATCACTAGTAGAAGTTGTCAAAATTCTCTGTGTGAAATGGTCTTCTGGTTCAGAAGGTCCTAAGTCAAAATTCTTCTAACTCCTGGCTTTTGATTTTTTAGTTATATTAATGAATTTAACCAATCATGTTTGGTTAAGCTAAGAAATGCGGATTTTTTCATAAATATTCTTCTCTTAACAAAAACGATTGTGTTATCTTTAAAAATTAATGGTTTTTGATAAAATTGAATTCCATTTTATTTTCTCTTTAATGATATATTTTACAGTTGTGTGATTAAAATTTTGCTTGAACATTTTATTTTTAAAAACTCATAACTCAATAATGGTTGAAATGGTTAGAAAATGTTTTTAACTCAATATTCTTTGTGGATCAAATGATATGGATGAAAGTGATTAAAAGTTTTCAATGCAAGAAGAAAAGAAAAATGCATATTACTATTAAAAAGGAAGAGGTACAAGACTTATTTTCTCATATAAATCAAAATTATGTTTCATACTCTCAATAAAACCATGAGAAATTTTACTTCACATCTACCTTTATTATTCTCCTACTTCCACCCCCTAATTTCACTTAACTTCTTCCTTAACCCTTATGTATAAACCAAAATACATTATTTACTTTTTATGTTTTCTTCATCTTTTGTTCAAGTTTATTCGAGCAAAAAGTAAGTATTTCATTTTTATATTTTCAAAAATTTTGGAATATAAAACACAATATTTTAAATCCAAAAATTTGATGCACAATATGTTGCATCAACATAATTAAATTGTAAAAGACCAATATATACATCATATTCTTTTGGCTTTTTACTCTTCTTTATTCATTATATGATTTTAACTTTATCAGGTGACATACACTTATAGATGGATAAGCAAGTTCTCACACCATAATCTTCAAAGCTTTTTTTCAACAGTATCAAATGCTCGAAGTTATTTCCACAATGCACCCATATTATGAGACATATTCACTTTTGATCCAATGTTGGTGTCTTCTTCGCGATGACTTTTCAAATTTAATTTTCTCCATTTAATATGAGTTGAATCGAATGAAATTGTCAAACAACTCAGTATATATATTCCTAACATACAAGCATAGGACAAATCTTATATTGTTATAAGTTTGTTACCACATGTTGTTTTGTCAATTTTCACCAACCTTACTATTCTGGACTGGGCTCAGGTTTGTCCAGACAGGCTCAGTCCAATTGTATATGGGGAAGGCCCCAAATCAGTCCAACAGGGCGACGTCGAGCACAGGACCCCTATCGCCAAGCAGAGCACCTCAACCGTCGGGCAGGAGCCTCCTTCCCGTCGAGCAAAACAATGTGTCATCCACACGTTCTCCACGTGCCCTCTCCGCAGGGGCACGTCATCTGCCAACTACCCACCTCCGAAAGAGGTGGTCAATCTACCTTTCGGAGATCAAGGGACAGTTGATCTAGGGCGAAGACCACGTCCTGGTCTTCACTACGCCACGTAAGCCCTAGCAGTCACTTGGGTTGGGCCTAGCCATCCAGCCCAACGCAAATGACCGTTGGCCCTGCGCTGGGGTCTCTCTATAAATACCTTCTTTCACAAGAGGGTCAGGTATTCTATTATAAACCTTTATGTATTTGCTCTCGCTCTGGTTCATTCTCTCACTTTGGCATTGGAGTGTCTTGTAGGTACACCCACTCCTCTTCCATACCTCCGGTGAACAGGTGGCTGATCAAGGGCGTGGCAGGTCACTGACTTTCTTCTGATCAAGTCAAATCAGTGGCGCCGTCTGTGGGAACTAAGCTTCCCCGTTCCTCCGAGTAGAGAACCAAAGCTTCGCCTATCAAAACTTCAGCATCATCACTAGCCCGCGCCACGACAAAGTTGTTCACAACTCCGCCCCCGTCCCCGTCACCAACGGTGACGGTCAGGTGGGGACATCTCAACTCCGTGAGACCGACGCCAGGGACGGCCAGACTGCCTCCCCATCCTCCAAGGATGCACCGCACCATGCCGTCCCTCGAGCAAGGAGCCCGACAGTATTCCAGCACATCCCCACTCCGGCCAGCGCGGACCCAACGATGGTCGCTCTCTTTGCGGCCATCAACCAGACAAACGAGATGATGTTCCGGCAGAACAAACGCATTGGCGCGCTGGAACACGGCACCTCATCTCGCTCCTCTCCGCGGGAAGATCAGCGCGAGAACTCTCGGAGCCCCTCTCCCCAACCACGAGGGCACTGACCACAGCTGGAGAGGCCCTAACCCATGGTCTCCAAGAAGCGAGCAAGGTCGCCGACCCGGAAGGATAGACGCTCTCAGGAGCCGAGGACGGGGAGACCCGAGGCACCGATCAGGCAACCAAGGGTACGGAACCAACCTCCTCCTCGCAATGGGCCCTCACTCCCTCAGTCATCGATCCTCAGCGACGAGGACGACTACAGGACCCCGCTGTCCCGAGAGATCATGGCAGCTCCCATCCCCTACGGGATGGAGAAACCGGCCGTGCTCTCAACGTACGACGGAACCTCGGACCCGGACGACCATCTGGAGGACATTGAGGCTATGCTTGACTACCGAAACGTCCGAGGAGCCATCAAGTGCAGGATTTTTTCGACGACCATGAGGAAAGACGCTATGACGTGGTACAAGAGCCTGGAACTGGAGTCCGTCACGTCGTGGAGGATTCTGAAGGACCTGTTTTCGCGGCACTTCACGGCGTCCAGACGTCATCTGAAGATAGAGGTCGCGTTGGGCGCGATCATTCAAGCCCCCGATAAGCCCCTCATGAACTACATCGAGAGGTTTACGAGGGAGGCGGTCCAAATAACAACTTCAGACGAGATGAAACGTTACCTGATGGAGCAGGGCCTACGACGGGACTCCAAATTCTACGAGGCCGTGGTCATCCGCCGGCCATACTCCCTCCAAGACTTCCTCGACAGGGCTCGCCACTATATTCGGTTCGAGGAGACACAAGCCGCCAACACCGCCCGCTACACGCGGAACAAAGAAGCCCCCCGAGGATCCAGAGAGGAAGGGACCTCAGGCAAATGCCGCGGAGGGGACCAGCGAAGGGAGGATCGCCCCCGATAACCCCGTGAGCAACGGGGCCCCGCCGACCGTTTCACCGAATACACGGCACTAGTCGCTTCCCGCGAGCGCATACTGGCTGAGTGCGCCAATTCCGAATTTGTCCGAGGAGGCGTCCGTTTTCCGAAACCGGCACCCACCAAAGCCAACGTGGACAAATCTAAGTATTGTCGCTTCCACCAAAGCCACAGTCACGTGACAGAGGACTGCATCCACCTGAAGGATGCAATTAAAATTCTAATCAAAGATGGGCATCTGAAGAGGTACACCCGGGGAGGAGACCCGCCCCGGTAGGAGGCCCTCGAGGCTAAAAACGTCGAGGACCTCCCTCCTCCCCACGACGACTCAGGCCTACAGGTAGCCCTCACCGTTGGGCGACTAGAGGATTGGTTCGCCCTAAGAGAGTTCAACCTCCCCACCGAACTTTCGTTACCCGAGGAGCCGGTGGGAATACTTCCCAGGGGCAATGGTCATTTCTGGAGAAACCCCGAGCAAACTCTCAATGGTATCAATTAAGCGGAAGTTTGACGAGCTTATAAGCAACAGCTCCGACAAGATGAGCATGTTTGACAAGTTCCGAGGTCGATCCAACCCGATCACCTTCTACCTTGAGGAACTCCCGGGGGGAGCCTCAAAATCAAACATTCCCCTTCTGATCCGGGCACAGATGGCCAACTTCGACGTCCGACGCATCCTAGTCGACGGGGGAGCTCGGTGGACATCATGTACACCCATATCTTCACTACGCTTCAGCTCGACGAATCTAACTTGTCCCCCTACCTAGGCTCCAATCTACAAGGCTTCAACGGGACGAAGATGAGGACATAGGGGTACGTGGAGCTCAAGGTCACATTCGGGGAAAAGGAAACGGCCAGGGAAATCAACGTTCGTTTTCTAGTCGTTGAATTCCCGTCTCTATACAACTGCATCCTGGGCATGACAACGATGACCGAACTTACCGCGGTGTCATCGACCATTTACCTAAAGATGAAGCACTACACAAGGTTTGGAGTCGTTGTCACCCTTAACGGGGATATCGAAGTTGCTCGTCGATGCTTCGACGCAACGATGAAGGGCCTTAGTACAATCGGTCCCACGACCAAAACAACTAAGTCACCCCCCGTTCGGGAGGTCAAACCAAAGGATCACGTCGATGTCGTGGACCTCGATTGCCGTTTTATCGAAGATCCCAACCACGAGGACGAAGCCAGCG